TGGGTATTTTACATCTGAAAGCAACACTATTAAGGCTTAAAACCAAGATCAGTGCTTAATTATAAGCAGCTTATGGCTTGTTTTTTTCTCCATAATGTCACTTATAAATATAGACAATTGTAGGTTTTTGGAATTATTTAAACAATACAAATTTGTTTTTGTTGGTACTTTAAATTTGGCCACTTCATTGTTATTTAGTGAGCTGATGTTTCTCACTGTTGCAAGTCATTTGTTTTAGGCTTGTTTTGTCAGGCTTGTTTGAATATTTTTATAGGAAGATGTAGTGTCACTGATAAAGATGCACTCTTTAGACAGCCTGTCTGCAACATTCTGCAGTTTGTAATATTTGAAAGTGATTTTAATTGAGCATGTGCTCATTTTTAATGCAATTCAGAGCCCTGCACATAGTTAAGGAACAGTAGTGGATAATTAACTGCAGTTTCTAGCCAGAATCAATATGTGGCTTGGATGATATTCAGGCCTTGGATTGGGAAATCCTGTTTTAGTAGTTACAGTAAAAGGAGAGACGCTACATAAAAACTGAAGGCCAGCACACGTTAAGTTAACCTTTGCCTGAAGGACAGGAACACTGTAACTTTTCTTCTTGAAATTTTTTTTTTTATGGTTGTTTAGTGATATTTCTCAGCTCTTCCAGCTCAGTTTGTTACGAAGACACAGAGTCGTCCTGATGATTCCCTGTCATTTCCCCATCTCTCTATTCCTGAGGTTCATTAGCATAGCAGCTGCTGAGTGGTGTGTGGGTGTGAGTATGTTTTGGAGGGGGTGAGTGTAGGGGGGCTCTAATCAATGGTGGTCCGTCTGGGAGCTGAATAGCGATGAAGCAGAATCCAGCAGGCTGGACAAAAAAAGAGAGCATAGAATAGAGCGAGAGAATGAATGCGCTTGTCACTGTGTGCTTGAAAAAGCACAGAGCGGAGCGAAAGAATAAAAGAGAGTTCAAACAGGAGAGGAGGGCAAGGAAGGACAGGCCTAGCCACCTGTCTCATTCTCTTTATATCTTTCCTTTCGCTTTTCACTATGAGAGAACTCTGTTTTTCATGTTTAATAACATGCATTATAATATGGGGTTCTCATATTGAACAAAAGTAAGCAGTTTATTATTACACTTATTTTTATGTAATAATTATTCATTTTTATATTATAATTAATATTTTTATATTGTTTATATATATATATACATGTTAGAATTACTATATTAATTGTAATATATTTAAATGTATATAATATTAATAGCTATTAATTAAGTCTTTATTATTTTTAAAAAGTTAGTTTATCTTATTGTAAGTTTTGTGTATATTCATTTGAATTATTTCTTTTTATGCAACAATGATTAATTATTGTATTATATTATAATTATTATTTATATATAAATTTGAATTAATATATTAATTGTAATACATTTTAATGTTTATTAATTAATAGCTATTAATCAAGTGTTCATTACTATTCATCATTATTAAAAAAAAGTTAGTTTATTATCTTGTTGTTTAATGTAAATTCATTTTAATTATGTATTTTATGTAATAATTATTAATTGTTATATTGATCATTCTATGTCAAACTGAATATAAATGCTCAACAAAAATAAACACTAAGCTCATCACATCTCGAACACTACAGATCATTTGCCAGCAGCAGATGAATGCATTTATTGGATTATACTGTGTTTGAAAGGAACTTTTCCTGGTAATAGTTGTGGTCATGACTAAGCCACTGCAACAATCATTCATCTTCATTCAGCTTCTGGCTATAATGTTTCTCTCCTTCTGAGAATCTGCAACAATTTTCATGGCCACAAACACGTTTTTCTCTGCATGTGTGTACTTGCACCAGAGCAAGCAATGTTGTGGGGCCTTTTTGGAATTACATGCGCAAGTATGCGAAACTACTGACAAGAATCTGTCCATGCAGAGAGGCTGTTTTTTATCTCTGGAACACTGAAGGTGTGGAAAATCGAAACATTCCAGTGCTACAAACAAAAGAGGACAAACCTCCAACTCCAAGCCTCCACTTCGCATTCTCAGAGCTAGAAGAGGAACGTTTCCTTCTCTCTCTCTCAAGTACATTCACAAAATTCTTTTTCACATTGTTGGGTTTATACGTCCCTCCCTCTCTAGCTGGCGGTGGGGGAAGGCTAGCGCGCAGAGCGACGGGACTCTGTTAAAATCATTTCCAAATTCCTGGAATGATGTGTGTCGGGACTGAGGCACATGAAGAATCTATTAGGGGGTCTCTCTATTGCACCCTGGGAAGGTGGCCAACTCAGCCGCCGGACAATGGAAATCCAGCTCAACAATAACATCCTGCCCGGGGAGTGGAAACAGAGAAGGATGCCATTGAGGTCACAGTCTTCTAGTGATGGTTGTCTTCAAAAGCATGCAGTAAACTCTTGTCTACCTGCAGAGAACTGCAAGCACTTGCTTGGTTCGGATTACCATTGCAATAGAATGCAGCCTCTGGATGATGTCAGATTATGTTTTTGGATTATTTGTGAATTTCAAAAACACACACTTTGGCACCAATAAATCAGAACAGGAACTGAGATGAGCACAACTCTCTGCCAGTAGTGTATTTTCACTGAGGTACAACTCCTGTTTCATGTTAGCATGAAATGCAGCAAACATGACTTAATTTCTTATGTATATCTGTCAATGTTTCAAGTTGAACCAATACAAACTGAGGCAGAATAAGACAATGAACAATTCAAGTGTTCGTATATGTTTTTTTAACTATGAAGAAACGCTGCGACTCTCCCACAGAACAGAAGGGCAGAGCTGCTCCATGCACAGAGTTGTAACATAAAACCCACACAAACACACAGGGAGGGGATCTGTCTTTAAAACAAAATTACCCACAACCCCCTGCACTCTTTTATCCAGCATATGAAAGGACTAGCCCAAATGAATGACAAAAAGGAGAGAATGGAAACTGGGGTCAGGTTGGCCCAGAGAGGAGGCCCAAACCAGCCCAATTCTTCCTCTGAGATAGAAAGAAACTTTCACAGCCACACATTGAGGAAGGTTTAATTATTTCTTTACTGGCTTGAACACACACCCATACATACAAATATTACAGCACTCATATTCTCACCGCATATGAATCACAGTGTTACAAATGTTCAAAAAATTACAAACAAAACAGACACACAAACAAAAAAAAATAAAAAGCTGAAGTCAACACAAAAGAACATTCGCATCACTCGCTGGAGACACAAGATGAAAAATAACTTGGTCCACAAAAACAAAAGAAAAGAAAAAAATACAACAGCACTTTTACTCATTCATATACACCTATCCAGTCATTTAACCCCCATGCCATAAATGTTATGACAAATGGTGGGGTAAAACAACTATACATCGTGCAATTTATTTTTGTTACAATGATCACAAGTATTATTCCCCTTTATTAACATCAGGAGGAGAGCACTTCAAATAAGAAAGTGCTCTGAGATATCAGCGTCTATATATCCAAATATATACTATATATGTATACACACACCCGATCACAGAGATACAAACATCTTTGCAAACGTAATGTTATATACAAACAAAACAGACACACAAACAAAAAAAAATAAAAAGCTGAAGTCAACACAAAAGAACATTTGCATCACTCGCTGGAGACACAAGATGAAAAATAACTTGGTCCACAAAAACAAAAGAAAAGAAAAAAATACAACAGCACTTTTACTCATTCATATACACCTATCCAGTCATTTAACCCCCATGCCATAAATGTTATGACAAATAATGGGGTAAAACAACTATACATCGTGCAATTTATTTTTGTTACAATGATCTTACCATCACAAGTATTATTCCCCTTTATTAACATCAGGAGGAGAGCACTTCAAATAAGAAAGTGCTCTGAGATATCAGCGTCTATATATCCATATATATACTATATATGTATACACATACACCTGATCACAGAGATACAAACATCTTTGCAAACGTAATGTTATACATTGTAACGCACAAACAGAGACAATATAACCTGGAGCTTTTTTTTATACAATAGTATTTTTTTGTGTTCCTTTTTTCTATTTAGAAAAAATAAAATGTTGACCTGAAGTCAACGAATTAACAACAGTCATCAGTGCAATATTTTCAACAAGAGTAAAAATATCAAGTTTAAGACAAGCGATGCATATTTGTTCTGCCTATACCAATCGAATAGATGATCGTGAGAATCACATCGGTTGCATCTCCAGGTGTACAAGGAGTTCCCGGTTGGTTAGCCAGGTTGAGCGACGGGGGCTGGAAACATCAGCAACACCACTGGACTGTGGCAAGACATGAGTATAATCACACACGCTCACACAACTGCATGGGGCTTCTCGCAAAAACAACAACAACAAAATGAATCTAACTGATATTTGTCCTCATTCACTCACCGTTGGCCATTGTATCAAGGAAAAAAAAATTACATAAAAGCAGCATTGAAACAAACATCAGGTGCCATGACTCTTAAAGGCGGCAGGCAGTCTTTTTTTGAACGAATCTGTCGATGTTTCCTGCGACAGAAGTCATAGTCTTCTCAATGTTCAATGTTCGTACAGTCCTGCTCAGTAGTAACTATTGACAAGCCTCAGCTCCTGCAGTTACCCGACCAGGCACTAGGGGGCGTAAAAGGCTCCACATTTATGTGCAACAAAACTCCCTGCATTTAATAGTCATGCAATGCATTACACTTTTCGTAACTACAATAGAAACCAAAAATGACAATGCATAAATGAAGCAATTGGCTGAAATAAAAACTATATATATATATATATATATATGTCTCAACCATGCATGGCGAAAGAAAAAAACATTTCGAATGACCAATGGATCTTAATTTTGGTTCAATGAGATAAATTGTCCCGAGTGAAGATTGTAAAAAATAAAGGATGTTGTAAGGATGACAGTAAGAAAACATCAAGTAAAATGACCCAAGCAGGTCCAACTGATTCTGTTGAACAAAAAACGACTCACGGGAAAGAAAAAGGCTACATCCCTCATTTGGTTTTAAGGTACAAGGGAACTCGAGCTTGGCAGATCCAACGCTAGAATGAAACGAGCCCGGTCTTTCTGCGTCTACCGGATCACTGCGCGCCGGAGGAGTACTTGGCCTTGGTGATGAGGTATAACACGATGTCTTGGCGTCCTCCGAAAGCGGCGATGTGCAACGCGCTCCAGCCCTCCCGGTTAGCCAGCCGAATATCGGCTCCGAACTTCACCAGCAGTTTCACGAGCTCCAGGTTCCCGTCGATGACCGACTGATGCAGCGCCGTCTGTCCCTCGGGGCCAAACGAATTAACGTTAAACTCGCAGTTGGTCATGTTCTGCAGCAGCGAATGGAGCTCCTTCGTGTTGCCTTTCTTCACCGCCTCCTGGAAGACTCTCTGCGGCGCCGAGCACGTCGATATATCCGCCTGGCTCATGATGCTCTCAGCCGCCTTTACAGTCTCTACAGACTGGACTAAAACCAGCTTAGGCGCGTTAGACTAGAAATAAGACGAGCGTATATATCCCAAAAAGGACAAGTAAACGACACACTTGGTGTGTAAATGCAGTCGGTGGCTATATATCCAAAGACCTAGCGAGAAAGTTCAATCATCCACAAAGTGTAAGTCTCCGTGTGTGTGCGTGTCTCTCAGTAGCAGCACCAGGTTATGGCAGAATATGGAGTTATTTAATGTGCGAAAGGAGGCGTGTGAACGGCGGTATCTCCGGTTAAGCGCATCGAGGGCCGTTAGGTTTAGAGACGTCTGAGGTAATTTACCTCAGGAAATGCGTCTCTTGCGTCCCGCCGGTTTATTTGGTAAGGCTGACTGGAATAAACAAAGAAACTGTTAAAAGTACTGGTTCACGCTGTCGGGTAGCGGCTTCTAGAAGTGAGCAGGTAAAGATGTACTTACCTCTTAACGTTTGGACGGGTTGAAGTGACTCAAAAACTGCCCGCTGCTAATTGTCCCGGTGATTCTCTGCCCAGATCTGCGTTGCCAGGGGGATATTTTAGCCGAACTAGTTTGCATAACAATACGTCTCTATAGAATAAAGTATTGTGGACTTGGAGGGCTGGGCGACGCTGATTGGCTGCGGGGTCGGCTTGGGGGGCGTGACCAAGCGGTGAAACGGAGAAATGGGCGTGGCTAAGTGGCCAAACATCCCACAGTAATAAAACCACTGCGTTATTATGTGTTAATATGCTCTTCGGCGAACCAAATGGTGTAGATTGGAGGAAAAATATGTTATAAACAAACACTTGAAAGATGGACATAAAATAACAGACAGGCTTGGGTTGGGTGTTTATTCAGAACCTAACCAAAATGTTGTTACCCATAGATATACTTGCTATTTTGCCATCATAAACGCGATCAGCAGGCAGCTTGGGATTATCTCTAGAATTAAATTCGAAATATTCACCTGTTAAAAAAAAACGAGAGACCTTTAATTTCATTCAATCACTCGTTCTTTTAAATCCAGATTTTCCAATGACTGTTACAGTTTACAGTTAACTGTAGACTACCTGTCTACACCAAATGGCAATGACCTCTTGTCTATCGGTGTTGCTTAAAAGGAACTCGAAACACCTTTCTCTGAACCATTAGACTTTAGGACTTGTGAAGCAGCCATTCCAGCTGTTTTAAGTCAATAGCAAAGGCTGTGCGACTTCCTGGGCGCGTCAAGAGGTGTGCGTCGCGCTCAGTGCGCAAAAATCCCCGCGTCTCTGAAGTCCAACCTGAAACTTCAGGTCGCTCTGCGCATGCGCGAAGCAGGAACCTGAGAGACACGCATAGCAGCTGTACCGTGGGAACCGGACGACTGCCGTTTCTGCGCAGCGCACTCGCTTTTCCTCACACGCCGCAGTTTGGCGTGGAAGCCACACACACGCTGTATACTGTGCAGCCGTTTGCTCCGTTTGTACAGGCGCTTCAAACATTTGATCTACCCTGGATCTACCAAACTGTTCCGTTTCACTTCATAACCGCTTCGTGCGTTATAAACTGCACGTACTTTTTTGGCCAGTAAAGTGACTTTTGCATGTGGCTCGGCGTTTGGAGACGCGATTAGAAGCCCTTAATACGCGTTTTCAGATAATTGAATCAGAATACACTATTCAAAATCTAATTTGACATTTAAATAGACAAAGACTAGAGCCTAGAGTCATTTATTGAACACATTCAACAACAGTCAAGTTTTCATTTGATATATTATTGTCATCATTTTTATAATTACTATACATATTTTAGGCAGTCGATTCTGAACAGGTTTCTGAGTGAACTTATACATCCTCAACTGCCTGTATATTAAAGACATGTACAATAAAAACATCTCTGCCTAACTGGTTTGGTTAACCTCTGGCAAAAGTACTCATAATTACTTTATCGACACTTCAGATAATCACTTGCTGTCAAATGAAATGCAATACATAAAATTTAGTCAGTATATATATATATATATATATATAGCCCAAGGGTCTGCAAGAACTATAAATGTAAAATTGCATCATTCAAAAATACACTATTCCGTTAACTTCAACCAAAGCTGAAGTTCACCTAAACGTTTCATTGACCCTTCCACATGAAAAAAAATTAAGAAATTAAAATTAAAATGTGAAATGTATGCATCATAATGTAGGTAAACACATCTATTTGGTATATGCATGTTCTGGCTTGCACTCAGTTTTATACAGTATGTAATAAGTATCTCTGCTTGGTTCATGGATATTCTTCAGTGTTTTTCGGGCTAACTCCCAGTTTTTCTAAAGATTAAAAAGTAAGGATAAAGTTTCACCTCCACTTTTGAGAAGTTCACTAATCCTTGGTTATGTGTCAGCTGTCAAGTTCTCATGTTAACATTCTTTTTGTACATGAAACTCAAAGCTCAAAAATAAACCATGTGGAACCAGACGTTGCACATATAAACACTGGGTTAACATGTGGAAGTAATAACTTGTGCACATTATTAATTATTTGTAGTACCTTATCCTAACATGTCATAACGTTAGGATCCCAACATAACATATATGCTTCTTTAATATCTCCTGCGGGGCATGTGTGAATACCGGATTTCAGGCATTCTGTTTTGAGACGGACCAGATTTCAGTATGCACAAATTATATTTCAAATGGCTAAAGCTGTTTTCTTTCCTGTGCAAAACATTCCCATCATTTGAAAGAATGAAGCGAAGTGCACTTAAAGTATTTGACCATGTGAGAAACAGAAGTGTTCTTTAAGACCCGCCAGGGCTAAAACATCTCAGCACATCTGTTGGCTAATCAGAAAGATGTGTCCGTGCGCTGGCCTTTTGGAAAATATTTGTTGAGAAAACGGAGGGCCTCTCCCAATGGCTGGTTATCACTGGACCCAGGAATTTGCACAATTTCTGGTACTTAGATTTGCCTACAGTGGCCCCACAAAGTTTACACTTAAAGGGACAGTTCATCCAAAAATGACAATTCTTTCATTATTTACTCTTATGTCTTTCCAAACTGGTATGGCTTTTTTTTTTCCTGCTGAACACAAAAGATTTTTTGAAGACTGTTAGTTTTGGTTCCCATTGACTTCCATTGCTTGGACAATATTAAAATGGAAGTCAAAGGGAACCGAAGCTGTTTGGTTACTAACATTCTTCGGAATATATTTCGTGTTCCGCAGAAGAATGGCATTTTAAATGGCATCTATTCAGGGAAAAAACTGCTTGTGCCATTTTTTTTAGTTGAAAAATCAGTAGATACTGTTCAAAATGTGCCACTTTTGGTTGTCAAACATTAGTGGACAATGTTCATATTAATTTAATAAACTACTCCAGTGGTTACCCTGATAGGACACCTGTGTGAACTTAAGGAGAACTACTTCATAAAAATCACCAGTTCATAAACGTCATTACAAAACTGACTCAGAAAAGTGAGAAAAGCTCTAGCAACATTTGAGAACAGATGACACTTTGTATCTAATGCAATAATTTTTTGAATGAAGTGTTCAATAAGTTTTTGGGGTCACCGTGTGTGTGTTTGTGCGTGTGTGTGGGTTCACAGAGTTTCTGCAGGTTTTATGAAGGTATTGAATAACACTGCTCCAAACCAATAGAATATGGAAATAACTTTGTATCTTCTGATCACACTGCACTGCACTGTTTTTCATCAGTAGTTTTGTTGTTTTCTACAGCAAATGTCTAAAGATTCTTAAATCAAGATGCACTTAAGAAGCAAAATGACGCAAGTCTTGTTTGATGAGACATTTATCAAAAAGAAGTGAGTTTATGAACAAATATCTGCCAATAAGCTCAGAAAAATCTACTTAATTCAACGGGAAAACAAGTTTTCATTTTCCATTAACAGATGTTTGTTCTTGTTTTAAACATGAACACACTTCATTTTGTTAAAATTCTCAGAAAAGACATCATGTGTTCATATTGCATCTCAAGTAAATGTACCTTGATTTAAGGAAGTTTGGATAATTCTTTTGGGGGGAAAAAATACAGAGGAATTTCAAAATACAGAGATATTAATTTTTTTGCAGTGCATGCAACATTTAATGCCATGACTGTGAATTTAAGACTTTCTGCTGTGATTTAAGACCTTTTTAGGCCGTAATTTGTGGAAGGGCGAATTCAAATTCTTAAAGACCTTTTCATGACCAGCAGAAACCCTGCTTTAGAGCGACAATTCATCTTTTTGAAACTTTTTGAATCCATTTTTTTAAAATTGTATTCCTTTATCTTTTTTTAAATACATACCCAACACATATAAACCAAACCTGAATGGTAATTTTAAAGGAGACATAATATGCCCCTTTTTACAATATGTAATATAAGTCTCTGGTGTCCCCAGAATGTGTCTGTAAAGTTTCAGCTCAAAATACCCCACAGATCATTTATTATATCATTTTGAAAATGCCTATTTTGAGTGGAAGCAGAAACACGCTGTTTTTGGGGCCTGTCTCTTTAAATGCAAATGAGCTGCTGTTCCCCGCCCTCTTTTCCAGAATAGAGCTGCGCCATTACAGCTCGTACCTGCTAAAAAACATCTGTTTTGGTTCTGATTATCATGTTTATCGCTCTGAAATCATGCGTTTTAAACCATATTAATTTAAACTTCTGATATACGGTTTTCTGAGCGCACACGGACAGAAAGCGGCTGTCACAACATGTGAGTACTAAACTAAGTTTTCATTCACACACAAGTTTACGTTAAAAACACACACGAGTTACAAAAACAGTCGGTTATGTCTGTGAAGGTAAACAGCTGGGAAATAAATCGCATGTTTATATTAGATCTGTGTGGCAGCAGCAATATACAGTAAATAAATCAATAAATAAGTCTCCTCTGAGGCTGGGGCTCTAAATAGTGTTCTGTGCTCGTCTGTGTTAGCATGCTTTGCTCAAACTTTCGCCATGGTATTAGAACTGGTACACCATTGTGAAATCAAAATGATGGCGCCGTGAGTGGAAGTTTACGGATTAAGGGGCGGTAATATTATAATGAGATCCCTTTGCCACGTCACCAAGGGAGCGAAATCAGACGCACTAGTTTTTTCAGACGCTTGCAGAAAAAGGCTTACCAAAACAAAGTTACTGGGTTAACCTTTTTCTGGTTTCCTTGTTTGGTAGATGCACCGGGGACCTGATTATAGCACGTAAAACCTGGAAAAGTCAGATTTTCATGATAAGTCACCTTTAAGTATCACAGTTCACAGCTGACATCAAAGCAACAGGCTATAATGAGACGCCAGCGAGGTGCTAATCGACCCGACGCTGAGAATATCCTGCGAGCCATTTCAGAAGTACAGTACATAACAGGAAGTGTCCCATATTCCACCTGGGCCCGGGTCACATTCATCAGAAACCCAAGCCAGTGAGAGCGAGCGAGCGAGCGAGCTAAAAACTCCTCCCAACGTCAACACACGCGTGTTATTTAAAATTAATACGTGTCATAAAAGCTGGAAGGTCGATCTCAGTGGCATCTAAATCTCCGAATGCTTTCAGATTAACCCTGGATTGTTCAAACCTCCACCAAACACAGTTCAGAAAATATTTGGTGTTTCGTAGCCCTGCGAGGCATTAAGCCTGAAACCAGGCACGAAGGGGGAGCTCTTCAAAGATCAGCCAACCTGCCCCGCGCCTGAGCCAGACAGTGGAGAGGTGGGGGGGAAAGAAAGCAGGCAGAGGCCCCTGAGTCACTGGCTGGGGATTCTGCAGGACTAGCATGACGTCTAAATAGAGGGAGGGCCTTCAGAGTCCAATTCAGCTCCAGTACCACGTGTTCAAGGAGCGTGGGAAAGAGGCGAGCTTTTCTTCCCAGCAAAGAAAGAGCCAGTATCGAATAACAGAAGCGCAGAAGAGCCGGGGT